GATTGGCGTTATCGAGAAGGAATCTCTGGCCAGTTGAATAGACTATCATTCAAGTATGTGGACCAAAACCACAAATATGTTCACACCTGTCTATGACCGATAACTTATCACGCCGATATATCAGGCGGGCACCAGATCTGCAGATGCCTGTAAAGCCAATAGTTTTTCGTTTTACAATAATGTTAGAATTATATAATGATTTACATAAACATGATATGATGAAATATGATTGAATCAGAATTTTTTTTATAGATTGTCCAACATATTATCAGTTGACAAGCATTCATTAAATGTTGGACATAATATAAAGTTAAACCAGTCAATACAGTATTGCCACCTCAATTTTATTCTCTTTGAAATTTGTTTCAAATTAATGGACTGTTTTCTTGTCTCATTCATATCGCATATATAATTAGTCCTCTGAGTTAAACAACGTTTGTTATATTTAGGATTGATTGCGTTCACACTTAATCACCTACACAACCTTTACTTCGATTATCTCATTCTTTGTTTAACGGCATTAGGGATGATAAATGATCAGATTAGGTCGGGATCGAGTCTTGCCGGATCACTAAATTGACTTTTTGAATTTGGTGAAATTTCAACTAGAAAATCGAATGACCATCCCATGAAATCGATTCGAGTTGATTCGGTTTGTCAATCTCATGGATATTTATCAAACATTTTAAGCAACTCTAAAATAAATCCCAAACGGAACCTAATTTGATTATGAATCGGGTTGAAATATGGGGACGTACTTAATTAATTAATTAATTCACTCCGGACAGAGAAAGTTGATAAGCTATCTCATTTTGAATTTGTTTGGCCCAAACTTGGAAGTATTATATAGTCAAAAGGTTAGAACACGCAAATTCATTGGAAACTGCATTCCATGTAACTGTTGACTGATATCCAAATTAAATAAATAAAAATTGGCTTCTAGAAGGTTCATATTATCGTGCCCAATAATTGGACATAGCGAAAATTAATATCCTAAATATTTAGTTATTTTATTTATTAGAGGTGTTCTAAAAATGACAATTAGGTGTGAAGTTTGACGTTGTTGTCTAGACAAATTTTACGTTTTTTTGTGTGGTCGAGGTGGGAGAAGAATAAAGAATGAAGATGGTTAAAATAAAGAAACCCCTCTTTGAATCTTGATGTGGGGAATATTTTTAGCATATGCCTTCGAGTTCTTGATTCCATGTTAAGCAACCCAATGTATTTTGGTATAACTCTTTGAATACTGCTAACATCATATGTAAAGAATATTTCAAAATAAAATGCGTGGAAAGTCTCTTGAAAATAACAGAGAAAAAAAAAACCTGAAAGTGGTGTGTTTGAATCTAATTTTGAGGATAATATAAATTTTGGAATAGTGATTGATGTGAGAATGTGTGGTGGAAAAGTAATGAAAAGTTTTTGATTTGTGTATAATATTATTTTATTTGAAGAACGTGTGGTTGAAATGAAGAATGAGAATGAGAATAAGAAATTAATGGGTGCCAAACGGGGGTAAATATTCTATTATAAATATGCCACGCGCACCGCACTTGACCGAAACTAATATACATATGCGAGATGCTAGAAAAATAGTGACGACGTGTGAATGAGAAGGTTAGAAAATCACCTCTATTTCCATGTTTCTTGGTCTTCAAGTTTGAAATATTGGATCCAAAATTGAAAAGAAAAGGAAAAAGAATAAGGGAGGTTGGAACTTTTGAATTTTGATAAGAAGGGTATATTATTAGCATATGCCTTGGAATGAAGAATCAGTCCCTTTATTCATCCCAGTAAACAACTCAAAGCCATGTGAATGTGTTTTGCTGATATCGAGGAAGGAATCTTTAGAATAATACTATCAATTTTAGAGATGGTAACGGGACGGGTTCGTGATGCGGGCTTGCCTTGTTTATGTTTATTTTTTTTTTTTTAAACTTTCAATTAACTATTTTTGTTTTTAATTTGTAATTAAT